ATTTGGCACGATTGAAATTGTTTGGGTAGGAATAGGCCATTTTCTCATATCGATCCACCCCACCTCATGGGAGCCACATCATCAACATTTTTCGTTCCATCTTTTTTTTTTGGAAAATAGTTTTTTTAGACCAAAACCATTAGGACATTGTGTCTTTAGGCTAATCTCATTTACTTATTGTCTTATTAGACTAAATATTTTCTAAACGGTAAAATTGTCCTTAAAATTAATTTATTAATTTGTAATTATGATTAGAAAATCATTATTATCTATTTTAGATTTAATTAAAAAACTAATTTGAAATTAAAAAATCCCTAAACTAATTCGAAATTAGTTTTTCCTTTTTTAAAAAAAAAAATCGAATTTAAAAATATGGAAACTGAATATTTCCAAATATTTGTTTCCTATATTTACGGATCTGATTATTTTTATCCGTAGAATACATATTCTACTAAAGGTATAACTCAATAAGAACGTTTGAAATCAGTTTGTACAAGTATTAGAACGATAGTAAGAATGTAGATTATGATTTCTACTTATTTTAGATTTATCAAAATGTTTAGATTCTGGTCTCTACCTATATTAGAAGAAGGGAGAATTTCAATTATACCACTTTGGTGGTACCACTTTTCATGTTTACCATCAACAAAGGAACATTTTCAAAAATACACATTTTATTAAAGGATAAAAGACTCTTATATCCTTGTTCTTTATATATATACATAAAATAAATATTTAATAAAATATTAACCCTAAACCCTAAAACATCAATTCTGAATTCTAAACCCTAAATAGTAAACCCTAAACCCTAAAAATCAACCCTAAACCCTAAAATATCAATTCTAAACCTTAAATCATAAACTCTAAACCCTAAAAAGTAAACTCTAAACCCTAAAAAATCAACACTAAACCCTAAACTATCAATCCTAAACCCAAAACCCTAAACCCTAAATTCTAATAGTATTTTGAGTATTAAAATTTTAGTGGTAAAGTTGGTTAGTGTAAAGTTGAAAAGTGGTATCTTGAAAGTGTTATTTCTTGCAATTTCCCTTAGAAGAATATGTTAAACGCGGAATGTGTATTCCAAAATTTTCGATTACTGTTATTTCCGAAGAACACATATTCTGAAAATAGTAGAAATAATGAAAAATAGATTTAGTATTCTACTAAGTAGTACACGGATTCTAAAACCTGTAGAACAAAATATGAAATTATGATTTACATATTTTTAAAACTGAAAAAATATCTCTTTATTGACATGTATTTCATCATTAGGTACTATTTTAAAATTTTATTTTGGTTCATAAATCTATTTGTTTTATTAATTTCCAAAAATAATAAAGGATATTAGATTTAAAAATGGTACAAAATATAATTTAGTTTAAAGTGACAATGTTTTGGTCTAAAAAAACAATTTCCTTTTTTTCCCCCAATAAATTAGTTGAATGTTCTAGTTTGGATTTCCCCGGATTATGAAAAAATAAAAAAGTAAAAACTAGAGAAAGTTAAGTTATGTTTTCGCATTATGGTAGTTCTTACTTCTTAGACCGTTTGCATCATTTAGACATATTTATCTAGAAATGGTTTCCTTTTACTTCATTTAACTGAATCTCTTAAACAAATTTTATTTGATGTGAAGAAAACATTGGTCTCTGTGAAAGTGCATGCATGATTAAATGGTCCTTGAGAAATGCACATACGACTGTGGACGAGACCTATACCCTATTCTATAATTTGTTTTTTTACTAAATACTCTATTCTGAAATTAGACGATAAGTTACATATTAAAATGCATTTCTTCGCACGAGTATGCCTGGGTGTAACAAGACCATGAATAAATTATTAATTAACCATGTAACTAGTGACACTTGCTAATCATGTAAATAGTTGTATTTACTAACCATGTAATTAGTAGTAATTTTGGTTGTGAACAATACATTGAACCACGGTAAACAGTTATATATGTAATAACCCTTTAGAAACTTTGATAATATTTTGTATCTAATATTTTGCAAATAATTTCAGTTTCTGAAAATCGAATTCCATACATAAATAGTGTTAAAACATTGAATTATTGATCAGTCATGCACAATGTAGTTTTGATGGACGAACTTGTATATAGTTTTTGTTTTTGTTGTTTCAACATATTGAACACTTTCTATATATATATTTTGTATTCCCTTAATTGAAACCGGGAGAGAACTATGCAAACCGTTAGTATCAGTACCACACTATTTTATTATAATTTCAACACTTAGAAATTTATTTTTCTAACCACAACACTTAATTTTACATTAAAACTTATTTTATATTATTAAATTATTAAATTATTTTATATTTAAAATATAAATAAATATTGGATAACTATATTATATAAATACACATTACAATAAATATATAAGAAGATTTAAATAAGCTATTTAAATATATTATTTAAATTCATATAATATTTAATTTCAACATTTTATCTATTTATTTATTATTTATGTACTATATCTTTTATTAATAAAAATAAGTATAGACTTCCTCCATTTTTTATAATGTGTCAAATTCATTTTCATACTTATTAAAAAATGATTGAAATACATTTATGTTTTTATTCATTACAACTATTTAACCAAATGAATTTGAGAAACATAAATTATTTATAAAATTAATACAATTTGTTATTAATGAATAAGGATAAATTATATTAAAATTCTAAAATGCACTTTTGTATAACAAAAACTGTTAAAAAACATTAAAAAAACAGAATGAATTAGTATGGTGAATGTTACACCAAATTTGATGTGATATTGGTGTTTTATTAAAATAACATAGTTTTAGATACTGGGTTAAAGATGTTTTTGTGAAAATCCCATTAAATTTTTTTGGATTCAAGAGGGTATAAAAGCATTTCCAAGCTGCTCCATAGTTAATAATAAATGTTTCAACTCCAATTTTTTTTACTCCATGATAAGTAAACATGGATTTACTATATAACTTAGATTTACTACATAACTTAGATTCACTTTTTCTTTTTTATCTTTTGTTCATTATTTCATTTTTCACTTTGAAAATGAAATAGTGTTGGAATGTTAATCCATTTTAAAGAAAAAATAGAGTTTTAGATTGGAGATTATCTATGTGTTTGGGTAATGCCAGAATTAAGAAAACATTAATTAATGTAGTTACTTAAAGCTTGTGGGGCTGTGTGTAATTAAGACATCAAATAGTAGTTGTACTATATAACTAGTTTATGTAATTGCGTCATGTGATGACTCTGGAACTCTGTTAGGGATATAAATAGATTCCGCAACACGGCTGTCATTAATTTAATTGATCAATTGATCCCCTTAACAGAAAAGTCTAAACCACATTAAAAACTTATAAAGTAGTTTAAAATCGATACCTGGGAATGCTCGTTGCCAACCTTATATCTAAGTCAACGGTTTCATTAAATGTTAAATCTATAGTATAAGTAATTTAATAAGTCCATAACTTAATTAGTCGAATCTCGTATATATTAATCCTCAATTTACCGCGTCTATATTATTTTCAAGAATGTTTTTTATTTTCCTTTTGGTAAACAGTTTTCATGGATATTTTCAAGGATGTTGATCTGATATTTGTTCTCTACTTCTTATGTATATTTTAAGTTACACTGTTTGGGCATAAAAAGGAAAATGAATCCAAGAAGCAAACGCTGCCTTCCATCTAGCGTGTAAGCAAATCTCATCTCCTCTCAAAAATATGTAAAACTAGAACATGCCTCAATGTTTTATAGTACTACTAGTTTCTTTTACTAGTTAAGATAATACGAGTTGAGGAAAGAATGATAGTAGTCTAAAAATCACATAAAGTAATATCAAATTTACGCCAAATAATCTTGATGATCATATCAAATGTCATGCATCTGTTGAAATAATAAAATAGAAAATGAGTTTATTCTGTAAATAATTTTTTTTTGCCAAATAATAAATAAGTAAAGTAACTTCTTTTTTTTCACTCCATGTTTGAGAAAAATAAGGTGAAACATCAGAGATGGTCTTATAATAACATCATTAAGTTGAGCTTGGCAAGTCACCCTTTGAATTACATATATAGAATCTAACATTAAGAAAGGTGAGTTATATTTGGATTCATCCCTAGGGTGAATTTTTAGGTTTATTGGCCAATAAGATTTCATTAGTTTATATTTAATATCTTTTAGAAAATGAAATAAAATGTTATCAAAGTTATATTATGTTTTTAAAATAAAAAGATTAAAAAAATAGTAATTATGAATTTTTTTATTTTATTTTTTAACGTCGTCAACAAAACACTAAATCTTAAATCTTAAACCTTAAATACTAAACCATAAACCCTAAATCCTTGGCAAACCCTAATCCCTTGGATATATCCTAAATTCTAAATTAAAAACACTAAACCTTAAATACTAAACTCTAAATCTTAAATCCAAACCCTAAATCCTAAGCTCTAAATCGATCCTTGAGTGTTTTAGTATTTAGTATTTTTGATTTAGAGTTTAGTTAGGATTTATCCAAGGGTTTAAGTTTATCTAAAGATTTAGGGATTATGATTTAGAGTTTAGGGTTTAGTATTTTGCTTACGAAGTTAAAGATATTTTTTAAAAATTTATATTGTTTGTAATTACTATTATTTTTTTTATGTTTTATTTTAAAAACATAATAAAATTTGACAATATTTTGTTTCTTTTTTTAAAATATATTAAATATAAAATAATGAAATACTATTGGTTGATGAACCTAGAAGTTCATCTTATGAGGTGGATCCATGAATAAGTCAAGAAAGGTGAAGTTACATCAAACGCATATCTTATAATAAATCATCTTAAGCTTTTCTAGATGAACTTACACTGCAAAGTCTTGTACGTGACTTATATCGTTTCTGTAACATCCAAAGAATTTGCAGTGTACATTGATATATCGATTATATATCTACCGACGCAAAATGCAGACTGTGAGTACTGATTGATTAATTAACAAACTACGTACGGACCATGAAAACAAAACTGAATGTAAAGTAATGTAATTATTAATCTACATGAAAAAAAAACAAATAAACAAAACATTCAAACGTCTACCTTACAAGGGGTATAACAATAGCATTATATGAAAGAAAGCAGAATTAAGGAGATAATTCTGATTTAATCGAAGTAATGAACATTATTATCACTTGACATAGAATTACTGTATCCAGCTGCCGAAGATGGAGGAGGATTATATATAGAATTTGTAGCAGATGAATTAGATGATGAAGAAGACGATACCACCAATGACGGAGACGGTAAAGAAGCCGGTGGCGTAGGCGGTGGAGCCGGCTGAGAGGACAATAACCTTGGTGGTCGTGGGGGAGGAGGAGGTGGCGGTGGTGGTGGGAGGAGAATGGAGGCTGCAAGAGCAGCATGATCGGACACTGATGTTGTATTATTGTTGAAGTTGTTGTTTTGAAGGGAAGTGATTGTGGCGGCTTCCCGGTATTTGTGGCGGAGAATGTCTGTACGGACGGCGGTGAGTTCGGATTGGAGAGATTGAATGTGGTGTTGAAGAGCAGAGATTGCGCCCATGCAACCGTAGATTGGATCTCTCAGTCTTAAGTTCGCTTCGTAGACTAAACTGTTTGCTGCGTCTCCTCTCTGACTTTCTCCCACTTCCTGCAAAATTCATATATACACATTCACAGTTTAACAACAATAGGAATGTTATTTTCTATGAAAAATGAAAACTATCAAATGTTTATTTCATTAGTAAGGATATTCACACACACACACAATTATTTTTAAAACAATGTATACATGTAAGTTAGTTCTTTATACCCATGTTTTGACAAAATGTTGGCAATATATATAGTAGCTCTTTAAGGCATCTCCAACCCAATTCCATTTTCTACTTTAAAATATAGTAAAAGTGATTATAGAGTGAAAAATGATCCAACCTCATTCTATTTCTTATTCCATAATGAGATTTATTCCATACATGAAATAATATATTTTTGGTTTATTAGTCCATTATAGAATTAGAAATAGAATGGAGTAGAGCATTTTTACTCTATAATCTACTTTATTCTATTTTAGAGAAAAAAATAAATTTTCACATTGGAGATGCTTTTATACAGATTCTTTAAAAAAATTTGTGCAAATTACATGCTACACGGTTACAAAATGGAAAAATTTTGTTTAGTGTGAAGAGAGTCAAACAAAAAATGTGGTAGATCCTCAACTATATCTCTATTAATCAGATATGATATGGACTAAACAAACAAAAACATGATATGGATCCAGTGAGTAAGTAATAAGAAAACTTTGTTATTTGTGGAAAAGATTAAATGATCAATTTTTCTTATTTTATAATGGTTAATCAATATTAAAATGATTAGTAGTGTAAATACGTAATTAAATAATTACCAAAAGCATCTTGGAGACGTTACTGGCACCGAAGACTTTATGAACGGCGGCAAACTTGTGAGGTTCGTGAGGGGAGAAGTACGGCGAGAAAGGACACTCTTCCGCGCAACGACGGCGTAGTAGCTTACAAGCGGCGCAAGGAGTCACGGTGTTCAAAGTTGTCCCTGGAGGCACCGCCACATGTCTCCTGATTCCCATCACAGCATGATCCGTCGTCTTTTCGAAGGATGGATCTTTCTTTACCTTCTTCACGATCTCGTGGTACTCGCTAAATCCTTCTCTGTCGTTTCCAATAAGTTCATAACCAAAAAGTTGTCCAAAGGATTATTATCGAAATATTACCAAGATTACATTAATATGTATTTTGAATAAATTTACCTGTTTCTGGACATCCAAGCATGCTAGTTATAGGCTTGTTCTTGAGAACATCAATGGAAGAGGAGCCGTGGAGAAGAAGAAAAATGGTTGAAATACAGCTACTCAATATAAAGGAGAGTCATGATTATAGGGTGAATTAAATTAATGGTCCTAATTTGTTTAATTTAAATTATTATTTTTTTGTATATAATTATAGACATATCATCTCGAGATTAATAAACTGTGATGGTCTTACTCTTCTACCTTAAGATATTAATTATTAAATTTTATGCATGCTCGAGATTTGCAAGAGATAATTCTTTACTAGTATTATTAATTTATTATTCATCATATGTATGAACAAATATTGAAAGATATACGGCCGAAGACCATAATAAAGTAACTTACAATTTTTGTTGATTTAAATTTTACGACGTTCAATAAGCTAGTTTTCTCTCCTATCCTGACCATATAACATTTAATCCATTTCAGGTCCAGTAAGATCAATATCCAACGACCAAAACAATTCATAATAAACTTAAAGAAAGTTGGTTGAAGGAAAGCAGAAGCTAATATGGCGATATGACACTTGTAGAGAAGAAATTTCATCCCGACCTCAACAATATTCTCTCAAACAAATTTCATCTTAAAGGAAGAAATAGAGTATGAAATGAATTATGCTATAAAGTTTATGTATAGAGTGCAAATACTCTAAAATAAATTACATAACTATAATGTAAACTCAAACCGAAATCACTTTTACCGAAATAATATTTGTCAACTATGCTGAGTTAAATGTCACATCAACATTTTTTGTCGAATAGCTATCACATAATCTTTTCGTTTCACTTTACTTCATTTTAACTTTTTACACACAAATTAAAAATATTTAATTTTATTTATTTTTATATAAAAAATATTATTATCAAAAAACATAACCACATTTGAATAAATAAAAAATAAAATAATATATAAAATTATTAAATTTTATCTTAAAATCATCAAATGACATTTATTTTGAAATAATTTGTTTTTCTCTACAATGACAAATAAACTAAAACAGATTGAATATTTAGTTTCTACTAAGTCAGCTGCCACATATAAAAAATATTCAATATTTACGCAAAAATTCAAAAATGTATTAGTTTTGAAAAATATTCCAAAACCTCGAACCAACCTATAAATACTTAAGATCCAAAAAAAAAACAAAAAAAAACTGTAAATACTGAAAACTCAAAAATACACTCAAAATTTGAAGAAATTTCTAAATACTCCAAAACAAAAACATACTCAAATAACCATAAAATTAAATATATTAAATACCAAAATATAAAAAAATCCTAAATATACCAAAAATCTAAGAATAAATCCTTAAAATTTAAAATATATGTGATAACTAAAAATAATTAATACATATATTTAAAATTATTCAAATATATGATCGGGTAAAATAGCTATAGCTATAGCTATACTTTAGATTATGGTTTCTACACGAACAATTAAAAAAAACATATATATATATATATATATATATTACATTTATTTGTATCTTACGTTATATTTTTGTGTATTTCATATTAAATTATATTTTTTTCAGCAACTTAACATAATCAAATAGATTATGTAAACCAAATCGATAATTCAGTTTCTATATGAATAACGAAAAACATATTTTTTTGCATTACGCACGAAGCTATCTGTCCTTGTGTTATGTGTCCATGATACATGGATAAGCTCCGATCTATTAAAACTTCTCTTCAAGATCGTAATATATTCCATATAACTTACAAATTCTGGTCATTTTTCTTGTTCTGAAACCATTTTCACCAACTGAAAACAATATGTTGTAAATGTAACATTATATTTCCTTAGATTCCGCATACATTCTATTTCCCAGATAGGAGCCTTGATCTCATAGTGCAGTGGCGACTTATTCTCTCTTGTTTCCTCGCACCCATTAAACAATTGAAACCTTCTAGGGTACTATACCATCCTTGTTCGGAATATGTCTCTTGATTCTTCCAATGATCCATCCGTAAAACACCATTTACCTGGAATAACCGGTACTGTTGCTGTTGCTACAAGTGATCTAGATTGATTGATACCCTGTGTAAGTGAGTTTTGCCCCTCATTTCAAAGTAGCGATTCTATTTCCGTCAAATGAGGAGTATATTGAGGATCAACATCCAAAATAAGTGATCTATGATTGTAAATAATGATTTAATAGGGAAAATATCTGGATTTGATGAAATCCTTGAGAGTGGCCAAACCTGAACCGTCGGTGGACATTCAAACACATGATTTATGAATTCTTCAGGTTCTCCGCATCTTTTACAAATTGTATCTCCTTGTATCTTCCTTTCAGATTTATTTTTGGTTTTTGATATATTTTGAGACGTTGGTATTTATAGTTTATCACAAATTTTCAAGTAAATTTTCGTTTTGTTTATATTTTTAGTACAAAATTTATTTGTGTGTTTCAAGTTATTAGAATATTGGTTTTGGGTATTTATAGTTTATTCAAGATTTCAGTATAATTTTTGGTTTTCAAGTATTTATAATTTCTCTCAGATTTTTGGGTGTATTTTTGGTTTTATTTTGGATTATATTTTTAGGTTTATTGAGTTTCTGAAATATCTCAGATTCTGGGTAATGTTTTTAGCTTTTTACGTAATTTTGAGAATTTCTTACACGTGGAAGCTGACTGAGACTATATACAATGAAATTATTTTTCAACATCCTAATTTACATTTTTTAACATTCCATATCACATTCTCTCTCTTTCACCTATTAACTCAACACTCTTTCAAATTTTCTTTTACAATAATTTTGTTTAATAAAACTCAATACTCTAATCAACTTTTATCTAATATTTGTTTAATAAAATGAAAAATACTTTTTATACATCCAAATCAAATGAACCAAGTTTATATTTATAAGTTACAAAATTGATAAATTTTTATATAATTTTTTTTTAAAAAATATAATTCATTATGAGATAAATGAGTTTAAATATTCAAGATGAGAAAAAAGCAAAGTAACTAAAATAGACCCTACTTGTGAATTTTCAACCCCTTGAAAGTATTCAACTAAAATGAATCCACCTCAGACTTTTACCTTTTTACCTTATTGTAGATATAGTAGAACCTTTATAAATAAATATTTGATAAATTAATAATTTCTATAAATTAAAAAAATTCACCGGTTTCAATTTGGGCTGGTTCAAAATTTGACGCAAATTGATAAAATATAAGATAATATTATTTTTACAAAATTTTATGTAAATATATGGTCCCATTAAAATTATAAATTAATAATTTATGTATATATATTTTATATAAGTGAGAACATATCATTATGTTGTTTGTTTTATCTTCACAATGAAATTATATTTATATTTCCTTAACACTTAATATATTTTTGATAAGATTTTGTAATATTATATCTAAAACCGCATTAAATTATATGTAATATATATTATATACACTAAATAATATTATAAAATCAATATAAATATCAAATTTCAAAAAATAATAATTGATTTCTATACAATAAAATAAAATATATTTTTATATTAGAAAATAAATATATCTTAAAAGAAAAAAATCTAAATAAGAAATTTTTTGTAAATTAATATCTCTATAGTTTCATAAAATTTTTAAATCTTAACATTATTAATTTATAGAGATTTTACTGTTTAATACAGTTGAAAAAATAATTCAACATTCTCATTGTAACTAGCATTAGTGGAAACTAGATGATAACCCGCACCATGCGCGGAGTGAGGTTTTTAAAAATATATTGTATTTAAATACATATTTTGCTATCAATAACCTTTTTTACATTTGATTGGGGATGGACGTTTGAGTTCCATTTGGTTTGGTTAGATTCTGTTTGGTTTAGATTTTTACGGTTTGGTTCGAATCATTGCAGATTCGGATTGGGTTTAGGTTTGGATAATCTATTTAATTTTTTTTAAAAGATTAAAATACATATATACTTTAAATTTTCAAAATCTAAAAGTAAAAAAAAATATATATAACATATAAATTTGAAAAATGAATGCCAAAATACTCAAACTTAACAAAAAATTGGTCTATCTTAAATATTTGGACAAAAAATAAATAAATTGGTTTAGCTATTTTAAAAATGTATGTTTGACTATTTTATATATTTCTAAGTATTTTGGAAATTCTTAAAAAAATATCATGTATTTTGTATATTCTTAGATGTTAAATTTAAAAATAATTAAAATATTTTAAGTATATAAATATGGTTCGAGTACACTCGGATACCCGAAATATTTCGATTCAGTTTTGGTTCTCTAGATACCAAAATTTCTTATCCGTTTGGATATCTAAAAAATTTTGGTTAAAACATTTTACTACTTTTTGGATTAGATTTTGTTCGGTTATCTGGATTCTTTTTTTTTCCGCAACCATATATTTTTATTGTAACAAAAATTTAAACGAAAGGGATGTTGGTTCATATTGATTTTGGGTATGCAATAGTTTAAAAAAAAAACATACTCTATTATGTGCGATTCATTTAGTTAATCATTATGAACTGTTTAATACCCATTAGAAAAACGATTGGCTGAACTAAAAACGTTATTATTGATCACAAAATTTTCAATGTGAGATTTTTATCATTTTTAGTAATTTATGATCATTTAATTTTTTTTTAAATATAACATATAAGAAAAAATCTATTTTTTTCATTATATATTAATGTGATTGTTTAATTTCTTTTAATAATATAAAATTAAATAAAAAGTAAAGATGATAAAAATTGTTATCAAATCTTTATTATTCATAAACCTTAATTGTGATATATATGTTAATCATATTAGGTAATTCCGTAGCTTTTATCTAAGGAAAGAATAAGAAATATTCTTTTGTACATTACTAATTAAATATGATAGTTAATATAATTAATTATAACATATTTTTAGTTAGACCAACATATTTCTCTAAAAGTTATGAAAATCATTCTCATTGTGACACGTGACTACAAAAAAATGTTGTAATGTTTTTTTTTTTTGATAACCGTGGGGAATCCCAGGCGGTAAGTCCAGACTAATC